TTCTCAATGAACTGCAAGGCAGTTACCTCCAGTTGCTCTCAATCAACAATGCAAAAATGCATTATCTAGTTATTATTATATTACAGTTTAAGAAAGCTGAAATATGAATTGACTGCTGCTTTTCCCATGTCATAACACACAATTTATGCGCTGCTTGCATTAGAAGCAACAGACAAGGCTTACGTTTATTATTTTGCAGTAAATTAAATATGTATTTGCAGCAACGATATAACCATTATTGAAGAAATTCCAATGGTGAAAAGCTCACAGTGTTGGTAGTAATATATTAGTATGTACAGAGAATTGTTTAATGAACAGGAATAAAAGTTGGGATAAATGGATCATTTCAGGTTATAAACTGTAACTGATGGGGTACCCCAGGGATCACTATCGGGGCTTCAATGCTTTACAATCAGTGAAAGCATTGATGATGTGACAGAGCAGCATTGTAGAAAATTTGCTGATCCCACAGAGTAAATAGGAAAGCAAGTTGTCAGGAGATCACAGAGGTATGTAGATTGTTATGCAGATAGATTAAGTGAATGAGCAAAAATTTGGCAGATGATGTATAATATGGGAAGTTGTGAATATTATTTTAATGAAGAGAGACTGCAGAACGTTGCGGCACAGAGCCAAATGATTCAAGATGGCGGCGGAGTACCGGCTTGCGTGCGGGCTCTTGCTACAACTGTACAAGGCATTGGTGAGACTGCACCTCCTGAAGGCTTGTGTACCGTCTGGTCTCCTTATTGAAAGAGCGATCTACATGCATTGCAGACAGTTCATGGAAGGTTATTAAGGTTGCCTCCAGGGATGAAAGGATTTCATGAGGAAATATTGAGCAGGTTTGGACAATACTCGTTAGAATTTAAAAGCAAGTGTATGTGACTGTAGTGGCAGTATAGTTGCTGGGGGAATCTAGAAATGTGGGTATAGTTTTAGAATAAGAAGACTGCCATTCAGGATGGAGATAAGGAGGAGTTTCTTCTTTCAGAGAGTTGTTAACTTTGAAATAGTCTAACTCAAAAAGCAGTGAAGTCTGGTCCATTTATTATATTCAAGGTTGAGTTAAACAGATTTTAGATCTGCAAGTGAGTCAAATGTTATTGGGGCGGGCAGGAAATGAACATAAAGTCACAATCAGATCAGCCACCTTATTTAATGGTGGAGCAGGCTCAAAGGGCAGCATGGCTTCCTCTTGCTCCTGTGTCTTATGTTTACCTTCTTATGTTTACTTTCTTAATGTTTATGGTCTTATAACAAAATTCCAGATTAATGATTGAAGATTGATAGTGCTCTCTGTACAGGAAAACATTCTGAACTCTTGCTGGTTTAATTTGTCAATCCTTTAGCTATTCAAGGCAATATGCAGACAAAAACCTTTCAGAGATGTTCTGCAGTAGCTGAAGTTATGTGAGATGATAGAATGACTGCTAGTGCCACCATCTGACACTACTTCAAACATTTAAGAAGCCTTTGTGAAGTGGAAGAATCAATGAACACCTTTTGAGAAAATACTTCCTCACCAGACACCCCTCCATTCATGTGACTAGTGCTGAGCATCACAATTGGATGACCTGAAATCTGCACGGTGTCTCTTCTGTGGATAAAGCACTTTACAAGTCCCCCAGTTTGTCAGTACTAACAATGATAGAATTCTTCACCTGGGTTTCCACTGTCCCAATGCATTAATCATAACATTCATGAAAGAACAAAACAGAAATTGCTGGTGAAGCTCAGTAGGTCCGGCAGCATCTGTGGTGGTGGCATCCACTGGAAGTGATGGATATGGTGGCTAATGATCCTTTGAATGTGGATACTTTAGGGCTGCTGCTGTGGGAGGGGAAAGAAAGGGTGAGGGCTGAAGTGTGAAAGATGAGTCGGACATAGCTGAGGTCCCTGTCAACCATGGTGGTGGGGAATCAAGGCTTGTTGTCATACAGAATTCAAACGAGGTCACATGACTTCCCCCCTCCTCCATTTTACCTAAAATTAGAGAGACAGTCCTGCACATAACAATCTTAGAAATGTTATGGCATATTACAATTGGATGTTCTCCCTGAAACAGATGCTAGCCAATCAGAAGTGGGCAACTCTTAATGTACCAATAGTCCAAATGTGAGCCATGGCTATTGTTGGTACTAAACAATGGCAATGAGTTGGAGAGCTGTGGTGGATCAGCACTTTTTAAAGTGTTTGGGAGGGCAGTGGGGGAATTGTGGTTTTGAGAGTTCAAGGGCAACATTAAACCATTTGGAATTACACCTTGGAAGACCCTTCCACAGACCCAGTTATGGAACATCTTCCTCAACCACTGCCAGCGATGCAGAGGATCCTTCCTTGCATGGTAAGGGCCTTCCTTGCACTCAGTAAGAGGCATTGGTTGCCCACTTACAGGCTTTAATTGGCCATTGGTGGACAGGCCAGTCAAAACCATCCACGCTGCTGGTATAATTGTGGGACAGGCAGGGAAGGGTTTGGGTGGTAAACAGGTGGCCTACTAGATTTAATGTAAGCTACTGCTTTCAAACCCAATAACAGATGAGCAGCTTATTTAAATTCACTTAGCTTAAACTCACTCCCCTGTATCTCAAATCTCATAGATTCCCATCAATTTTGTTCCGTTCTTTTTGAATAAAAACTCAACCTTCATAAACATTCTGCTTAATTTTTAACACGGAAATAGTTCACCCTGCTCATCGCAGCAGTAGCTGTTTCTTCCCCAAACATCAGTTATTACTTTTGGGTACCTTTATGTATCTTTCATGTCCAAAGAAGTAGCTGTCTCCCTTTCTGTCTCAAGGCGACAAAATTCACTTGACTTTCAATACGCATCGTTTTCTTTCCCCATTACAACCTGATCACATGGGTCTGTCTCCAGACAGATGTTTAGTGTGATTACATCTCGGTCTTCTGAGCATTCTGTTTCTATTCTATTAAACAATATATTTTAAAACTTAGTTGTTTAAGTTTAATATTCATAATACAATCAAGCTGCTTTTAAAAATAGTTGCATTTTAAATCTATTTGACTTAATTATTTAAATAGTAACTGGACTGAACTACATTTCAAAAGGCTAACCACATTGAACTTTTGCATGCACGCAGTTTCTAACGTTTTGTGAGTTTTCAAATTAATTATAAATATAAATAAATAAATCAAATTAAAAATAGATATAAATTATTATTTATATGAATGGTAAAAAAGCATTTTATGAATTACATTTTCCTTACCTAAACTCAATAACAAAAGAATAAGCAAAATAGAAAATGGTTATACTCGTTTTCAGTCAGTGTTTAAACTGTTAAATACAATTTTCATTTTCAGATATTTAAGTCCTTCTGGATGAAAATTAATCCAGGTAGCAATTAGCTTTAATTGACAAAACTACATCAATTTAAGAAGATATATACTGTTTATGCTTTACTTTGCAGTAATCTGAAAATGAACTACTGAGCTCCAAACAGACCAAATGACGTCACCTGTTTTAAATGAAGCTTTCTAATTTTACAACTCAGTAGTTTAAAATTGTCTTGTCCAGTGGCTGTTGTGCAGGTTGAAAACAGTATGGTGTGTTTCCCAGCTGGAAATCAAAAGGATAGAATTTGAGTTTTAGGTGGGAATTAAGTATTCTTTGCAATAAAATCAACAAACAAAATACAGTGGGTTGCTAGTATGATGAATATATATAAACATGACTTTTAAATGTAGGTCAAATGTGGGTAACAGAACTAGTTTAACATATCAACATTATTGATTTTATTCAAGATTTATTTCGGTATGCACTGGATAATTTATGCTAAAATTCATATGAAACCTTAGTTTGGAATTCAGCATTCTATAATAAGCGCCTTATGATATCTAAGGTACAACAATTGGTTCATGATTTGACTACATTTACAAGAAACCACTTGGTAAACAGTAACAGAAGGCAAAATATGCTCATCCGAAGAATGATCATGATACTTCATAAGACATCATAATCGAAACTCATTCAAGCCCTGGAAAAACACAAGTGGTTGGAATTTCTTTTTCTGTTTTTTGACCTTCATTCATGCCCTCTGTCACAAGAGTTGTCATTCTGCTTCAAATACTTAATTTGATTTAGAGCACTGTATAGCCGTGCATGAGATTATAATATGTCAGCCTTTACTAATGTTATAAGTGTAAGCTCTAAATGGAAAGCATCTGCATATAAAAAGAAAATCTACTGTTCTGGGACATTCATGGTTTAGATTTGCTTTCTATAGTAGAAAAGACTACACTCAGTAACCTAGAAATGCCATCAGAATAAATCTTATCTTTTGGACGTTTACAATGTCTTGTGAACTTTGTCTAAAATTTAATTTTGTTATCAATACATTAATAATACATTACATGCTTAACCAAATATTGTATTTAAATATTTGCAAACTGAAAAATGATCATTTTCCCCTTACTGTTTTGGTCCTATCTTTCCTTTCGTCACTGAAATCTTTTGTTGTGTTGTCCTTGGAATAACCTTAAGTATTTTTGGAACTGGTACAATTACAGTTGGAGAATATGAAATAGATATATTCAATAGTAGAATTGTAGCATATTGTAGGCAGTAAACAGGTTTTATTTTACTAATGTTCTGAGTGACAACCTCACTACTTCTACTGGTGAACTTATTCAACATGAAATTGTTTATATTACTAAAAGAGACTAAAGCTAATGACAAGTGGAAAATATGTTATGCAGTTATCACATCACTTGGAACAATAACTCTTACCAATTATTGCAATATTCAGGAGAGAATTAGCATCAGCTGATAAAATGCTTTGCTTCACAGCTGGAAGTATGATAGAAATGAAGCTTCAGCACAGGGGAATTAACTGTTGAATAGAGAAAATAGCTTTAAAGATTTCCTCTTTGAAAGCAAAACTATTTCATGTTAGCAATCATAAGAATGGACACTGTGACTTTAATTTTCTATAAAGTAACCATGATTTCTCCTAATTGTACTCTTCACTCTTTAGACTGTTGCTGATTCTGAGCGAGTTCTAATGACAACAATTGCAATGCCTGTGTTTAGCAAGAAGAATGAGACGGTGAGTATGCCTTGCTTGTGATTGACAATAGTACAGAAAATATTTTGGGGGGAAGAAGGCACACAGATTAAATGTAATCTGCAATAATGTGGGGAAACACTGGAAAAAGTCAGGCTGCTTTCATGTACATGTTGGCATCAGCTCAGAAAAGTATTGTAGGAGGCCAGTTGCCTATTTTCCAGCCTGCATTTGCTCTGTGGCTTTTTCAGGTGAGAGAAAGAAAATGTGGGCATGCTGATTATTAGGCATTAGATTGTTCAGTGAAGTGAAATAAATTAACAGAAATAAAATATTTAAACATTGTTGGTCAAGGTTAAACAGTGAGATTCTTTCTCTGGGAAATAACTGGATGTATGGTTTTCATATTTTGATAGCGCACACAAGGTATTCTTCTGGGTGTGGTCGGAACAGATGTTCCGGTGAAAGAGCTTTTGAAAGTTATTCCAAAGTATAAGGTAAGATCACATATGTAGCTTCTTTGACAATCATGAAAATATCAATTCTCGTACAAAGAAATTAAAAACGATCTGGGTGGAATTTTCACAGTTGAATGGCCCTGATTTCTTGCCATGTTATGGAGAAACCCTGGAGAAACTGGCCACCAAAGTTGTGGCAGATGATTAGAACATAGAACATAGAACATTACAGCGCAGTACAGGCCCTTCGGCCCTTGATGTTGCGCCGACCTGTGAAGCCAATCTGAAGCCCATCTAACCTACACTATTCCATTATCATCCATATGTTTATCCAATGACCATTTAAATGCCCTTAAAGTTGACGAGTCAACTACTGTTGCAGGCAGGGCATTCCACGCCCTTACTACTCTCTGAGTAAAGAACCTACCTCTGACATCTGTCCGATATCTATCACCCCTCAATTTAAAGCTATGTCCCCTCTTGCTAGCCGTCACCATCCGAGGAAAAAGGCTCTCACTGTCCACCCTATCTAATCCTCTGGTCATCTTGTATGTCTCTATTAAGTCACCTCTTAACCTTCTTCTAACGAAAACAGCCTCAACTCCCTCAGCCTTTCCTCATAAGACCTTCCCTCCATACCAGGATTGGGAAAAAGAACCTCACTGGAATTCTGCTTAATTGCATTTTTATGTATTATAGCCATATTTCTCAATGATTAATAAACATTTACATTAAAAATTAATGTGGAAATTTAACAAATATATTAAATTAAGCAGTATTAAAATATGTTTGGACCAACAAACATAAATGAATGATAGTTGCATAATAATGTAGATAAATGTAAGGTTTCAGTTTGACGGAAAAAGCAACTGGGGACCTCATACATTCATCCCATCACATATTGAGATTACCTTTTGATTTTAGCTTGGGCCTGAATGGGAAGAGGTTGGTGGTGTCACATTGACTTTCTTGCCTAGCCAGAGACCAGATGAACATCCATATCTCATGAAACTTTTGCCATCAAGAGGATTTGGCTACAAATCCAGTGGTTAGACTACGATCCTTGCGATGGTCTTTGTTAATGGTAGAAGTGCTAGAAACCTGGAGAAGCACAACTTATAATATCACTAGCAACAAAAACAGAAGTTGCTGGAAAAGCTCAACAGGCCTGGCAACATCTGTGAAGAAAAAATTCAGTTAACGTTTCAGGTCCGGTGACCCTTCGTTAGAGTTCTGTTTTTGTTCCTGATTTACAGCATCTGCAGTTCTTTCGGTTTTTATTCTATAATATCACTAAGTCCTGTTGTCAGGGTAACCAAGCACAAAATTTCTGTATATCACAAAATTAGAACTTTAAACAGCCCTCACTAATACAGGATTGTCAAATGCACAGTACCCTCTTCATGTTTAAATAGATTGCTTCAACATCATATTGAAGATAATTTATGAATATAGACCGAATCTTACAAATTAAGGAAATCAGTCTAAATTTAAAGGGATAAATATTTCAGAAAGAAATATTTCTGGACTTGAGTGTGATCCTTTAATTTGTTATGACCGGAAGGGGTAAGAATAATTGGCTTTTTTTAGCTCTCTCTCAGATGATTGGAACAAGTAATTGTATTCTTTTTTAATGCAATTATCACACTTCAAATATTATGAAATGAACTAGATAAGAATGAAGAAACCAAATTACAAGGTTTTTGTTGAATGGAAGAAAGAGGAATTTTATACCTACTACCCTAAAAAGTAATAAAAATGTGATACAAGTACACACTAGACAGAGGTAATAACCTTAAACAAATAGTGTCCACACAGAAAGTTGCTCAGGAGCAGCTTTTGAAAGGTTGTTCATTTGTGAGTTCTGGATGGTGGCTTCTTTCTGTTTGAAGCAGGATTCTTTACTGGCAACTTGCATACTAATGTGTAACCTCCAAAAATCAACCAAGAAATACACATCTGCATTTCAATGCACTGTTATAGAGATGTTAATTTCTGCTCATACTCATCCTTGTTTATTGATGATTTCATGATGTCCTGATCCCAGCTGAAGGAAATACTGGACAAGTTGGATTCCAGACTGAAACCTGGCTCTGTAGACCTTTTGGTTTTCATATAGAGAGACAATTTGATGAGGTCTTATCAAAAAACAACCAGAAATGCAGATTCTGCCCTTTTTCTCAGAAATCAACCCCAGTGAAGTATAACTCCTGTCTTCACTTTAAAATTTCTTACTAAACTGATGAGATTGCAACTATTTTCTTTCAATGACTTTCTGCACATACCATTGTCTCACCCCAAGACGCATACTACCCAGGATAACTCAGTAATTTTCCTCACTGTACTGTAAGAAATAAATTCAATGCTTTGACCACTATTAAGATGCTGAATGACACAACTCTGTGTGGAAACAGGCCCTTCGGCCCAACAAGTCCACACAGACCCTCAGAGCATCCCACCCAGACTCATCCCCCTTTAACTACACTAATCTCGGCAAAACTGGCCCCTGTTTCTGGCCCCTGGCCTCTCCTCCTTTAGATAGTAAAATTTGAAGTCCAATAAGCAACAATTATCTCACCAGATAACTTGTTGAGTTATTTAGCTCAGTCACATGATTTCTTAGAATGTCTGTCTTTTGCTCCCTGTTTCAAATGACTTTCTGACTCTCTAAAACAAAAGTAGGTCAGACCTTCACATCATTGAAAAGCAAAAATGCATTTATCTGTCATTTAGAATCCATGTTTCTATGACACAATGATGGATCAGAACCCCAAAAATCATGCAGATTTATTGAATCTTTAATTCTAACTTCTTCTTTTCTAAAAGAAAGATGTATCAGCCAAAAGATGACTGCAATCAATGACTTTCTGGCAGATCTATGCGGACTTATGGAATGCCAAACCTGTACAAAGTCAGGGAAACTTCAGACAGAAAGACTAAAAGGCAACAGATAATGAGAGGCTGCCTAGAATTATAGAATTCCTACAGTGAGGAAAGAGGCTGTTCAGCCCATCAGTCTGCACTGACCCACACAGACCCAGTCCCCCACCCTATCACTGTAACTCTGCATTTACCATGGCTAATCCACCTAGCCTGCACATCCTTGGGCAGTATGGGGTAATTTAGCTTGAGAACAGCCATTAAACACCAATGACTCTGCAGTGACTCTGAGTGCTACCAGCCAATTGCCATTGAAAGGAACAGAGAATAAAGCATTTTAATCAATCTACAAAGTTAAGAATCTTATTCACCAATGTCAACACTTTCACTACCATTGAATGTCACGGCCAAAATGTTTGATTTTACACACTTTACAAAAGACGCATTTTGTAAATGTACATGATCTGTACATTTGTGAAAAACTTCTATCACTTTTTTGGACTTACTTCTTATTCTGAATCTGTGGTTTTAGTTTTTTCTTGTTAGTTCTTCTCCTGTTCAATAACTAATAACTGACCCTTTTGTTAATCCAAGAAAACCTGATTAAATTGGCTCATTTCAAAACATAAATTCATTGGGTGTTGGAGAAAATTATCTACAAGAGAAGGTATCCTTTTTAAATGTAACTTGTTGCAACCAATTTTGGGTGTGGGTGAATAAAGAAGGAAAGACCAATCATCCATCCTCATCCGGGAGTATATTGAATTGGGGTATTCCCCTCTGGAGCAAAGAATGAAACCTTCCCAGAGGCTAATGGTAACAATATTATAAACATCCATCAAAATAGAGTTTGGCTCAACCTGGTCAGATTGAGAGGGTTTTCTTTAAAAAAATAACAATGTCAAAGAGTCATTCTGGAACAATGGTCTAATTCAGCATTGCTCAACCAGCAAGCAACTGTAAACCAATGTGATGTTAACGGAAAATTCTTTATATTGTCGTGGTTTGTGACACATGGGTAAACATTGAATGCCATTAGTTCAGAATAATCAAGGATTGATTTTAGTTAAGAAACCCAGAGGTTAAAACCTTTTAGTACAGTTCAAAAGAGACCTGATTGGTGTCGAAACAAATTTAATTTCCTATCTTAACAAGAGTATAGTACAGTTCAGGTAAATCACAATCACCTCAATAGAAGTTTATGAAACTTCTAAACTAGGAGAGTTTGGTTGAAAGTCTGCAGGTCATTAAGACTGAGAAAACAGATGCTGTCAGATTTGCGAAAATTTTCTAATGAAGATCGAATGAGTTTTAACTACCAGAACTTGTAAGATAGTACTGTACTGCTATTCCGATATATTGTCGTTCAGCTAGGAGTGTTTTCCCCAGGTTTGATTTTTAGGCATGTTGATTTGCCAAAGGCTCATAGAATTATCTCCATGGTCCATGGCATAGAAACTGTCAGGACTCAGTTAAGTAGAACCCTAAGGAGTTGAGACATGATTTGCTTTCTCTGGACTTGAATCTGTCTGTACATTGATGGTGTGGGATATAGGTTGAAAATGTTGTCTGTGTGTGTGTGTGTTTCTAAACTGTATTCCATACTTTTTTAAAATTTATTTCTTCTGCGTTACCCTGCTTAAGGCAGTGACAAGGAGGATAGATAAAGGGAAAGCAATAAATGTAATATATTTAGATTGTCAGAAAATGTTGATAACATTAGACTACTTGATAAGATAAGAGCCCTGTACCAGAGGAAGTATTTTAGCCTGGATAGAACATATATAACTAATTAAAGACAGAGACTTGCAATAAGGGGATTTTCAGGATAGCACCTGTAACTAGGGAAAAGCTTTTCACTCAAGAGGGTGGTAGGGCCTCAAAAGCATTAACTGGGAATGTAATTGATGTGAGAAACCACATAACCTTTAAAAAAAGTACCTGGATGAGCACTTAAAATGTCGTAACATTCAAGACTATGGGCTTAGTGCTGGAAAGAGAGACTAAAGTAGATTTTGTGCATTTTTGGCAGTTCAGACTCGATGGACCAAAGGGGCTCTTCTACATTATATGATTGTATTGATTCTACGCTGAACTAACATATTTAAAAAAATCTATCAAGCCAGATTTCATTCTGGGATATGACTTCTCCAAGAGTA